CCCCCTCCACATCACACCCACACCACACACGCCACGCTATATACACCCCCACCTACACACATACCTTATTGCTGTCTTTGAAGGGTTTGTCTCCAATGAGGAATTTCTATACATTCTCAAGTGTTTCTTTCCCCAAGAAAGGTCATTTAGCAAAGTTGATGAGGTCAAGGCAGGTTAAGGGACATTCTGCACTTGGATAGGGTTGATTTGCCATTCAATGGTAAAATCTGTTGATTTGTTAACTGTTAAAATTTTATGTGTTAAAATTTTTAAATTATTAAAATGACCAAATTTGCCATCAGGTGACAATCATTCACTTACTCAAATTGAATAAAGCATGGTTATATATTAGGAGTGTTAAAAAACTATTAGAGTGCACAAGGGAGAGGGGCAGGGGCAAGAGAAAATATGAAGCAGGCTCCATGCTCAGTGCAGAGCACAAGGCGCGGCTCGATTCCACGACCCTGGGTTCACGACCTGACCCAAAATCAAGAATCAGATACTCAACAGGCTGAGCCACTCAGGCACCCCAGGAGTATCATAATTCAGATTACATGTGAAATTATTTTCCATTTTAAAATAATTATAAAATGTCTACGTAGCTGAGGTTCCTTCCTCTCTGCCTGTGAAATTTAAAATAATTTTTATTGAAATACGGAAAGATTTTTAATGAAATAATTACTGCTAAGCAAACTGCAGTGCAGGAGTCCTTAAACTTTTTGGTCTCAGGACCTTTTATAGTCTTAAAATTTACTGAGAAACTTAAAGAGCTTTCCCTTACTGTTTGTATCTATCTGTATTTACTATCGTAGAAATATTAAAACATATATTAAAATGTTTAATTCATTTAAATATTTGTTAATTCACTTAATGACAAATATAACACATACAGACAAATAACATTTTAATAAAAAATAATTATGTTTTCCAAACAAAAATGTCAGAAGAGGTTTGTGGGAGATTTTGTTTACATTTTTGCAAATCTCTTTGATGTCTGACAATAGGAGACAGCTGTTACATATTGCATTGGCTGAAGTATATAAAGAAAATCTTGCCTCACACAGATAATACTGGAAAATTGGGAAGTATTTTATTAACCTTTTCAGATGATCATGGTTGTTCTTTTTTGATAATACACCAAAACACCACAAGTAGTGGTTTTTTTAAAGGATATTTGTTCTTTGGAATCTGAAACCACATTAGTGAACATTTTATATTCTGCTACATTAACATTGTTGCTTTTGACTGAAACTTGAATGTATATTTTCCCATGCATAATTTTGTAATATCGGGCCACTTGGAAAATGTTGCTTCACTGAATTAAGCAGATCTTACAAATGTTGACACATTTCATTATTCCATACCAATCACCTTGGTTAATATCATCACCAATTTCATCAGAAAAGTCTTTAAGCATTGGGAAGCTGTCAAGCCCTTGGTGGCAGATACATGTTTTTTTTTTTAAGTTGAATTTTAGCATGATTATTCAAATCTGTTTTTGGCAAAAAAAAATATTATCAGTTATTTTCTTTGTAGTGACAAGTTCACTTAGTTTTGTTTTGTTGTTTTTTTTTTAGAAAATGTCTGCAGAGGGGGCACCTGGGTGGCTCAGTTGGTTAAGCGTCTGACTGCAGCTCAGGTCATGAGCTCGCAGTTCCTGAGTTCAAACCCTGCATTGGGCTCTGTGCTGACAACTCAGGGCCTGGAACCTGCTTTGGATTCTGTGTCTCCCTCTCTCTCTGTTCCTCCCCTACTTGTGCTCGCTCTTTGTGTCTCTCTCTCTCTCTCAAAAATAAATAAAGAGTAAAAAAAGTAAAAAAAAAAAAGGAAACAAAATGTCTGCCAAATACCCTGGCTTTAGTAACCTTAATGTTACTCATTCTTCCCGGTAAAAATAGGGTTCTATGAAAAAAGTTCAGCCTGCAACCCATTCTCAGAGGAGCTTTTCCTCAAGACAACTATTGTAATTCAGGATGTAGCAAAAGTGCTTTATGTGTACTCCCTGTTTTGTTACATAGAGTATTAGATAAATACTGAAGAGTTCAGATTATTAAAATTAATATTTTTTACTGCTTCATCAGGGACATTGGTAAGTGCAATTGTTTTTTTACTGCATGTGCATGGTGATGAAGAATACAGGGACTACTAGTACTGTTTGGTGGCATGGTCTTGGTAAGTGACAAGGTACTAGTTTTATCTCCCATCCCTCCCCCAAAGCTTGCTTTTGCACCATCATCAGTGTAAATATCAACACAGTGAAAATGGCAAATAACTTTTAGTGTTATTATGAAAATAATAATAAGAAGTCTATGACTGGTAAATGGTAACTTTTAGTATTATTATGAAAATAATAAGTCTGTGACTTCTTAAAAGTCTTGGAAATCCCCGGGGATCCGTGAGCCACACTTTGAGAACCATAGCCCTACGTCTACTACCTTAGAAAGTCCTAGCAGACATAATAATGCACAAGCACACATTCCATTAGCCTTAGAGAATGATGTCACCACACATCATATAGTCTCTAGGAAAACTCTGCTGTGTGCTCAGGAGAGCATGAGGGTGAAAAAGGCAATTCACATCCTAGTACGAGGCAGAAATTCATTGTGCCCTAATGGAGCCTGGAAGGGTTTGGGGAGCCACAGGAGTCCATGGCCCACTGAATGACAACTGCAGGTGCATTGGAAGCCCCCTGATCTTGGACGACCTCAGTCCCTACCTGGGCTTCGCTGCTTGCTGCTGAGTAACGCTGTACTAGAACCTCTGGCCTTCTCACCTTTATCTGTGATTGAAGGTTAGATGGTCTTTATGTTCCCTTCTAGTGGAGATTTGCATTAGACACCCTGCTATGTGCTTTTTATGTCTATTACTTCACTTTATCCTTAAGAAAGTCTACAGGATGTTATCCTTACTTGTATGAAGAAACTGAAGTTCAGAGATGATGTACTTTTTTTTTTTTTTTTTGGCTCCCTTTTATAACGCGATGAATGATGTGACCAAACACTCCAGACTTACTAACATACCACAGTATTTGCATTCCATCACTTTCACTTTGAAAATGTCAAGTTATGCAAAGTAATGACATCATACTGGGGGCAATCATGTCCCTATCAGGGGATCTTTACATATAAGCTTGATAGACACGAAGAGATGCAGAATTCAAAACATACAACAAAGGGAGCCCATATTACATTGGAAGTGTTTAGGCCTATCTATTCAGATCATATAGTTGTTTGGTTTTAAGTTCTGACTTTTAGCAAAGTTCACTGCAGAGCTGTTTGAGTATTGGGTTTCTTGCATAGTTAATATTAACAAAAAGAGAGCTCAGCGTCTTGCTCTATTACCTTTGGCTGCTTTGCTAAATATATTGGAGTTCCTCTTCCCATGAATAACAATGCCTCAGCCAATGGCTGGGCACTGCTATTTTAATAATGTGAATGCTCTTGGGTTACAAATTACGTGGTATTGATAAAGAAAAAAAGGACATCAGCTATGTGACTTGGAGACTGGTACAGAGCCACTCACGATATTTGTTCATTTATATGTACTTTTGATCAACAGAGTTTTCTAACCTCATTTGGAACAGGTTTATAGTACATGTTCGGTTGTTCATTAAGTAGAGTTTCCTAACATTTTTTACCCCAAATAATTCCCTCACTTTGTAAGAATCTGGGTTTCATGATGAGAACAATGCCGATTTGTTTTATTCAAACCCATGAGAACTGTGGTGCCTGGCTGGCTCAGTCAGTGGATGGACTGTGTAACTCTTGATCTTGGGGTGCTA